TCTATATTTATTAATTACAATTTAGTTTGGCTAAAATAAAATATATCTAATTAGTTTTTTTAACTGTTTTTTTTTTGCTATTCCTTAATTGTTTTATAAATGTTTTGCTGTTTGAATTATGCCTGTAATAGGTTATTTAATGGGTAGTTCCATTGTGACAATGTACCCCATATAGTGTGACAGCATGTCTACAGAAATTGACTTTCAAAAGAAATCCTACCCTCTCCAACCCTGTGGCATCTGTTTAGTTGGCTTATAAAATAACCTTCAAAATCTTTCATTTAAATAAATAAAATTAAACAGCGTATTTTTTTCCCCCATTCCGTTTACTATTAAAACTTTACTGCATATTTTTGGTCTTTGTGCTTTCCTAAAACACAGCAAAGTGGTGCGCTGAAGGTCAAAGTTCAAAGAAATGCAAAACAGCCCTTGCTAGTCTCAGTGTAACATCTGAGAGATACTCCAAATGCAGAAATATTTAAAGACAAAAGGTTTTGTTAAATGTAGAAGAGACCTTTTTTTTTTTTCTAATGATGTGATTGATGTGTCTTAAGTACTATATATTTGTCTGAGAGCCATCTTAAAATACACAGATCAGACGTGATTTACAATGGAATGAGCGGAACTGTGGAGCTCATTAAGTGACTTTGTGCATTCCACAGAGTCAACATCACCATGACAACAAAAAGGCATCTTTTAGGGCAATGGAGGCCCAGGCAGTGAATGAGATTTCAGGACATCCCTCGTGTGCACTCTGATCCTTCTAACGCAAAACTGTCTTTCCACACACCATAATCCACAAAGTGGGGGTCTAAACCCCAGAGGAGAGAAACACATTTGCATTATCCATAATTACAGAGGTAGACTTTTTGGTGGTGGGGGGAAGAAGGGAACATTTCCTCCCTAACAATGTTTAGAAATTAATTGTCAAACCCAATCATGTCTTTTCTTTTCTTTTCTTTTCTTTTCTTTTCTTTTCTTTTCTCTAATGGAAAAAAATTGAGATGGGAGGAAACCTTTGCATTCTCTTGCAAGACGTTTACATTCGCTCACAAATTTTTGCATTTTCACAAAAGTATTGTGTGAAACTTTGTGTTCATTCACAAAACATTTGCTTACTCTCACAAAACGTATGCATTTTCATCCCATCTAATTATTTTTTTTTTTTACCATCACTTTGTCCATTTTAGGGGCTCCATATGATCTCAAGGGGTTAACACGGATTTTTTTTTTTTTTTATATAGATTTTGGTTTTTGAATGTTCATGATTGCTCATTAAAGGGTTAATGTTAATATAATGAAATAAATATGAGATAAACAAATAATTCACTTAAATATCGGCATTGCATCACGATACGAAAAAAACCCCATCATATTCTTTGAATTAAAGAAAAACACATAAATTATATATATTAAACATGCACAGTACAATACATCAGCAATAGATTAATTTACCAGAACCATAGCATGTAAAAAAATAAAATTAATCTATGACTTTCAGCCTTCAATCAGTACTTACCAAATTTGAGGAAACACTTTGCACATGAATAAGGTTATACTGAAGCAGATCATCCTTTAAAGTATTGCAATTGCACATTATGAATAATGACAACGTTTCTGCGATAGGATTCAAACAGAGCTGTCCAGCCATTGCATGTAATAACTAAGAGAAAGCATAGGACCAATTACGTGCATGGCTGGACATTAACTGCCCTCCTGCACCGAGATTAAAAACCAATTACAGCATGTTACGAATAGTAGAGTTCATTTTAACTCTGATTAGTGGTTCCTGATGCACTAAGGACATTCATATTCACTTATAAAGGTAATTTAGGGAAGATAATACAGACGGACACTCAAAAACCCTCTTAGATTCATAGCGTTGACCTCTGCTAGTTTGTGTTCAGCCTGGGTAAGCAAAGTAAATTACACATCTCTTAGGGGGCTCTCGACCATAACCTTCCTTTGGGTGGAGGAAAATGTCTGAAAATGTGAACGGTGAGCAGCAACTGCCTGTAAAAGTGAGTATAAAATCCCTTACGTACAAACAAATTAAGGCCTCTGAATTCTGAGCCAGTGGGATAAGCACTTTGCAGCCGTGCACTCACTGGTGTCCCATGGACCCTGCAGTTTAAATAGACTTGGTTTAAACAGCTTTAAGTGAGCACTCAGAGGGACCTTACTGGCTGCAGCTACAGTAATAATGAGTTTGGAAAGCTGCGGAAATGAGTGGAACTCGCTTCAGTTTAGCATCCACTGCTTAGATTGCCAGTGTTGGAGGATATCGAGTCAAACCAAGCCGAGATTATTAATAAAGCATATTGAGTTGACCCAAAGTGCTGTAAAAAAGGAAACAAAATAGAATATAAAGAAATAAATAGAATAAAAAATAAAAAAGACATGAATTAACACAAAATATACTGGCACAAAGTATACTGTAAAAATGTTTGCAATGTTAATAGAAAAAAGGCAAAATGATACTAAATGTTAACTGTTTTTTAACTGTTTTAACATACAGTATGGTAGGTTTAGATGGACAAAAATGTAGTTTCATGGTCAAGTACTACAGAAATGATGGGTTTTGGAAGTAAAATCACCACATAATGTATGGTTAAAACTGATATTACATTCAACAAGGTAATAGTCAAGTCAAGTCAAGTCAAGTCACCTTTATTTGTACAGTATAGTGCTTTATACAATACTGATTGTGTCAAAGCAGCTTTACAGTGTTAAACAGGAAATTAGTTTGTCAATAATGCAAGGAGACAACAACAGAGTCATTTTTCCAGCTAAAGTCAGTTCATTGATGATTCAGTGATGACTCATGTCATCATCCAGTTCAGCTCTCTTGTGTCCCCAACTAAGCAAGCCAAAGTCAACAGTGGCAAGGAACCAAAACTGCATTGGCAGAAATGGAGAAAAAACCTTGGGAGAAACCAGGCTCCGGTTCCGGTTGACCTAATTCATGCAGCCTAACAATCCTTTAACGGATTTGAATTATAGAAATGCGATAGTGTATTATGTGTATGCCAGGTTAAAGAGATGGGTCTTTAATCTAGATTTAAACTGACAGAGTGTGTCTGTCTCCCGAACAATGCTAGGAAGACTGTTACAGAGTTTGGGCGCTAAATAGGAAAAGGATCTGCCGCCTGCAGTTGAATTTTATTTTCTAGGTATTATCAAATGGCCAGAGTTTTGAGATCGCAGCGGACGTGAAGGACTATAATGTGATATGAGCTCGCTCAAGTATTGAGGTGATAAACCATTCAGGGTTTTATAAGTAATTAGCAAGATTTTAACTGCAACTGACATTGTTCTCACACTCTTGCACCACACGTCCTATTATCCACGTTATATTCCCTCATACATGATATTCCCTGCATCCCTCATATAAATGCTGGATTCACTTTCGAAATTACAGTGACTGACATACTGTAGTGATAAGAAATTGACCAAAGAAAAATATAATTAGTCAAAATTAGCGTGTATTATGCAATGTAAATGCAGACTAATAGATTAATTGAAAAATATTAAAATTAGCTGTGCATTGCTATTCTGGTTGTGGTGAAAAGTTATCCGTTTTGCAGCACTGCAACAGTTTGGGATGTCCCAAGCCGATCTCAAGGATTGGGATCATGGCCGATCAAGCATTTTTTTTTTTTAACTGATAGCTTTAATCGATTACTTTTCTTTTCTGACAATTAATCAATTGCTGGTTAATCATTAGCATCCCTAATGCGTACACCATACATTACTTTTACTATCTGCACAACTCTGTATACACTGGATTGATTTTAATAACTTGAATGTACTTGAAGTGTGCACCAAACATACATTCCTATTGGAATATACAAGATGGGGACTAGGGCTGTATGCCCCACTGTGTTATGATCCGCAGTGTCACTTGCTCCCTTTTATGCATCAGCTGCAGTTGTTAAAAACAATATAAATGATTAAAAAGCACTAGCTTGTCATTAACTTAAGTACATAAATAGAACAGAGATATGTATGAACAATCATGAATTAAAAATGTTTAGTCACTTTTTGTATTTGTTCTGCATTTGTAGCTATTTCATGCCGTTTAAGTACTTCAAAGCTGTACTAGCAACCGGAAAAATAATTAGCTGGTCAACAACAACTAGTAACAGCTATGGAAAAAAAGCAATATACTATTCACATTTCTGTATAAATGTGTAATATTAAAAATAATCAGCTGTAATTTGCCAATTAAATTAAAATGGGAAAATAAACCACCAATGTGGTGGTGTGTACACTGAATGATTACCATAAACAGTTGTATTTACAAGGTAGGCCAACTTCAACAATACCACAGTGCTACCATGCACACACACACACACACACACACACACACACACACACACACACACACACAGGAAACGTCTTTTTTACTTTAAGTGCTTTCGTGTACTTTTAATATTTTGGTACAATATGGGTGGTTAAAATCAAACACTATTAATCACTTAAAATAGTGAAATAGATAAAGTGATGTGACCCATACTCGGAATTTGTGCTCTGCATTTAACCCATCCAAGTGCACACACACACACAAGAACACACACACACACCCGGAGCAGTGGGCAGCCATTTTTTGCTGCGGTGCCCCTGGAAGCAGTGGGGGGTTTGGTGCCTTGCTCAAGGGTCCTTGCTCAAAGGTGGTTATTGAAGGTGGAAGAGAGCGCTGTACATTCTCTAACCATTAGGCCACGACTGCCCCCATAAAATACATAAAATAAATAAATAGGTAGATTAATTAAGATTAAGATTAATAGATGTTAAAATTAAAATAGATGTTACTTAAAAGCGATAGGATATAAAATTAGCAAATCTATCTATCTATCTATCTATCTATCTATCTGACAGGGATGTCAACTCTCATGTCAACTCTCAGGGTCGTTGTATTTAGTGGCGATGCGCTCCTGCCAGTGCACAGATGGGGCGCGCGCGCGCAGGGCGTTTGATTAGGGGAGGGTGATGCGCTCAGTCACGGAGTGCGTGAAAAAGTTTGTGAGGCTTGAGTGTTGGTGTCATCCTGCTCATCTCTCGTGACAGGAGCCCGCTGGACCTTAACGCCGACTGAAATCAGGTAAGGCGCTTTTAATTAACAGGTGGGAGAATGAATAATGCAAAGGATCGCTCGTTTGTTACGCAATTCTTGATCTCAAAGTGCGTGTAACTGCTCTAACTCTCATCCATCACACACGGGTATGAGTTTAATTCAGAGTTTAAGTAACCTCATTTGTTTATCCTAATTATTCTTTTACAAAATGAAACATGCCAGTACACTTGAAGTTATGTAACTGCAAAACACCTGCTTAGTCCTACGTATAGCATATATATATATATATATATATATATATAAAATGTATATATTTATTTATTTATTATTAGTAATCCAGGCATTTATAGCAAGATAATTTAATTTATTTAGCATGTTAACCAGACTGGATGGAGGTGCTAATCAGTGAGTGTATTGTAAAGGTTTTGGGCTCTTGTCATGCACATGAGAAAGAGGAGGTCGCTTAGAGCAGGGGCTGTAGTTTGTTCTCTGAAGTCTGTCTATTCAGGCTGCTGCGGCTTTTCACAGAGAAATAGGTCGAGCCTCTTTCACTGCGACCCAACTTGACTGGGAACGGGTAATTGGCAAACCCAGAGATACTCAAATACCCTGCTGAGACCCTAATAGCAGACACAAGCTTTACATGAAGAGTTGTAAAGTTATTTTCATGCAGCAGTATACACCAAATCTTGATAGAACATTGGAGAATGAGGATTGAGTCATTTTCACTTTTTTGTTTGTTTTTGTTTTGTTCATCACCCTAAAATGTGCTTTAGGTGGTAGAACATTTAAACTGAATATCAGAGTCAGACAAATTCAGTCAGTATTTCAGTAATCAGTAATAATAAGTATTTAGTATGACTGAATCAAACTGACTACTTTAGTTTACACTAACAAAAGTCAAATTATTAAAATCTCTATCTATCTATCTATCTATCTATCTATTTAACCAATCACACGCATATCTGTTGAGCTTAGGAATGCAATGGCCAATCAGAAGCGTTCAGATGAGTCTTCGTTCAAATCATCAGTTTTGTTGAGTGCGCGCGTTCGCTGACTGAATTCATGACTCATGAATTCATGACGGAGGGTGAACCAACTCTAGGGTAAGGCTAAAAGCAGCCAGATGTATTAAACATCATAAACCCGTCTTTTTAGGCAAGAACCAGACATGGGTGTCGTGTAGGCTAATTTTTTTTTTAAATGGGACTGAATATATATATCAGTGGTGTGTCTATATATTTTATTTATGAACTTATGTTCAGCTGTTTTTTCTAATAGTTAAATTTGAACTATTTTTGATTTTTTTTCGGATCATATATAAATATATATTTTTCTCTCTTTTTTAGTCTGAGTTTTTTTTATCTTAAGCATCTCCAACATATATTTGTAGCAACATTTTTTTACTAAATTATTGTGTGACATTTTTTGCCTCGCCACCATTATGTTTTGGGTTGACAGGCCTTTGCTATGCAGTTGCTAAGATGTTGTGGGTGTTTTAAGCACATTATTATGAAATTATTAGGTGGTTCAGAGTGGTTTCTAGGGTGTTAATGGTTGTTTAGTGGTTGCTTAATGGCCCAAGTTAAAGGAGCCCACCAATAAGTCTTCTGGGTCTATACCATAAATCCGGTTTAGATGGTTAACCAGGTAACTTTCAGTTTAGTTTGTGCCAACCCTGGGTTTTAGGCACCATGAAAGTCCCCCAGATTCTCTTGCTCCAAATTAATGGTGAGTACTAGAATTTTAAAGACAACAATGATTTGTCCTCTTTCATTGACAAGTCTTTTCTTCTTGCTATGTTAATATGTTTAAATTCTTCAAATTTTTCAATCTCTTAATCTTCGGCCAAAGTGAGAATGGAATCATGATGACTCTTTTGCGAGAAGTCAATTGTGAATCGTAGATGTTTCAAGTCATGCGATTGGCTGGTCATTACTGATGTTGCACTTTTATGTGCATGTGCTCCATACTTATTCATGAACTCAAGATTAAAGCCTGAGTTGACAAAGAAACAATTTTATTTCATGATCAGTGTCATGGTACCAACAAAGCCTGAATGGATTGGTTTGGTTTTGTCAACTTGAAACTAATCCAGTGACCTAGGTTTGTTCAGCTACTATAATGATATAAGCCCTTGGTCTCTAGATATGGCTATCCGATGTATACTAGGGTGACCAGACATTCTCGTTTTCTGGGGACAGTCTAGATTTTTGGTGTCCTGTCCCTAGAAATGTCCCCATTTTACAGCATGTCCAAAATAGACCGCAAATAAACTGTAAGAAGCCTGACCAACATAAAGTAGCTTTCTTGTTACTAGAGCAGTCATGTAGTGATTATTTTCACCAACAGAACTGAAAGCTGCATTTGGTTGTAAATAAACATTTGGTTGCTTTAGTCATGAAGAATGTAACCTGGATGAGAGCAGAGCACTATTATCATCAGTTATTAAAAGAGACACCGTTATCGGTTTCAAGGTAGTCACATACTAACTATTCATGTTAAATTAAAGTAATACTGTTTGTGTTTGTGTGTACAGGTTGTGGAAATGGCGTGGGATTGTTTCGCACACAATTTTAAAATGTTCCAGAAAGTCACAACACAATGCCATCATAGTGCAGTAATTTCCACACATTCATCTTAACTATACCACCTACACTTGCAACAAATTACATTTGTAGAAAGCACATACTTTGCACTCAAAATGAGCCTAAAATACTAAATAATAAGCCCAGTTAGGGAGAGTAAAAATCCATTTCCAAAAGCACACACATAAAATAACACTTGGTGAGTTAGTAATCTCTGAAATGCTTGATTCTGATTGGTCAGTCGCGACATTCCAAGTATCTGAAGCCAACCCTTCTTTCATGTCTGTTTTATTAAACCGCTGAATTGCTCTCTCTTGTTTCATACAAACACAACTGGTACCATCTTGCACCTCAATTTCTATATAAAACTATATAAAAAATGAAATCGGGGGACTTCAGTATTAATAGTACTGTGATATTGTTGCAGTGTTCTTGTTCTTGTTGGCAGGACAATTGTTTTGTGAGGGATTGTAACATAATGAACAGGTAGGATTTTAAAACAGATAAATATTTCATGTCCACGTTATTATTTATTTGGTGACAAACGTCTATTAGATACACACATACATATATTTAAATATACATATATTAGACATTGATCGTACTCACCCACCATGGCTCCCGCGTCGGAGCTCTAGTCCTGCTGTGGGGTTCACAGTCAGAGCTCTGTGTCCGCTGGGGCCTGTTAGGGAACTCTTCCCCGCAGGACAGTGAGTAACAATAAAGAGGTTCTGAATTTTTCATTGTTCAGATGAATATGAATCATCATTGAGCCTCTCGTACAGACTGTTTGTGAAAAGGGGTTGTTATCTTGATATCTGGTGGAACTAGCGATTTGGCGTGGTCTGCAAGTACATACTGTCAATCCCTGCTTTTGAAATTTTGGATGTTTACTGTTGGGCGTTCTGAAGACTGGTTTTGCAGCATTCTCTCTTCACATCTGAGGCCATAAAAACATGCTTTCTTTCTAAACCGACTCTAACCTCCTTGTGCAGCTTGATGTATCCACACAATCTCATTAGTATTTGTAGGTATTTGTATGTAAAGAATTATACATTATAGACTCAGAAGTCAGTATTTTTGTAAACCCTTTTACAAATGAACAACTTTAGAGACATACAGATTACAAATCTCTCTCATGTTGTGACCAGTTGGAAACATTCACAGAATTGTACATACGTAAAAGTGTTGACATTTTAGACGCTTCCAAAGTCAAAATTATATGCAGGGTTGTGTGAAACTATTTTAGAATTGATGTATGGACATATTTATACACATGAGATTTGTTCTTGCATTCAAAAACTTATAGACGCAAACAATGGAATGTAACAGAAAGCAGGAGTTTTGAGAATTGATGCTCAACAATGGCTCATGGACCCTTTTTACTTTTCTGTGGTTCTCAGAAGCGGAAGTCATCATAGTTGGGTAAACCTCTAGTGGTGAATGGAAACTACAACACATATAATTTTTGCATTTCCATTTGCTCCAATAGCAAAAGACAAAAAAAACAAAACAATGGCATTTCTGTGATTTTACAAAATAGGAAAACAATATACATCAAGAGATTGATTACATTGGTCAGAAGAGATAAAAAGATTTCAAATTTGTTGTCACTCCCTCAGCCGTTGTATCAGAAACACACATGCAGGTAATAAAAGGTGATAAAACACATTCATATAGTGTTATAAAAGTACATTAAATAAAACATAATAATAATAAAATATAAATATTTTCACACAGATTATGATTTCGCGGCAGATTATCGATTAATAAAGACTGAAAAAAAAAGTATTGATAATAAAGTAAGCAATTATTGCATGACCTCAAAACACTTTTACCATAGTGCATGATTTTTAGACTAGTACATTTTGACGTTTGCTTCACTTAACAAATTTGTATTTGTATGGCTTTTCTGACATAGTAAAATTGCTCAGTAGCTCACCTGCTACAGCAATGCACTTGCAGTTTGAAGCGCTCGAGCATGAGTCCTGTGAAACATGAGTCACAATAAAAGAGCTAAAATGACATGATTGCTTCAGTAAATATGTTTTTATCTCATGTTTGCTTTTGTTAACACTACTGGTTAGGTTTTAGTTTAGGTTATATGTAATTTTCACCTTAAATAACCTTTTTAGTGGTACTTACTGGACATTTAATTCCCAAACTGCAGCATTTTATGTACAATAACCTTGCAACATAATAAAGATTCACATGCAAGATTTATATTCATCTGTTTTGGATTAAAACTGAATGTGCTTTTAGCGTCATTCACTGGATATTTCACTGTTAAAGTGTTGTGAAATCCATTGTTTACTATCCATTGTCAGTAGAATTTGGCAGGGAGCAGGGAGATAAACACTTCTTTTAATTGTTTATTGGTTAATGTCAGTAATTGCAAAATGGTCAAATATTGGCCTGTCAATGGAATTGACAGATATA